TTAACTTATATATTACCCAATACATGTTACCATAGTGAGCAGGTGACCTGAACACCTGCTTAGTCTGCTGTCCAGGTAGTAATTGCTGATGACCAACTCTAAGGCCCTTGTTTTCTCCCTTCCTATAGGTCCTTATTTTAAACCTAGGCTTGGAATAGACAGCCCCTCAACAGAGGACGGTGTTCTGAAATTAGGACATGTGGCTAGCCACATGTCTATCGCTGTTCTCACTTATGCAACTTTCCTTCCAATGCCTAGCTTAGTCAACAAGACAGTTCATCTGATGTTCTGTCCCCACTTCCCATTAATGAGTATGACAGCGCTCAAGAAAAGCTATTCATTTTCTTTCTCACATATTGAACCTTTCATTCTGAGGTTACTGCAAATTGATTTTGAAGTATTGAATTACAAGACCAGTTATGCAGCTTCAGACTGGAAGCAGTGGAATATTTTTCTCCACGACTTCTTAGGAAATGGTTGATATGAGTAAGGTTAAATAGGCTAACTCTTTTCTGGTTAGAACACTGTTTTAATTGGGCAGGCAACATTCTTTCTTAAATAATAAAAAGGAAGATGATTTTAGATGTGACAATCTTTGCCAAGACAGACAACAAGTAAGTGGAAGAGACATACCTTTCCTGGAACTTGTTATTCACAAGTTAACAACTGCTGGCCAAAGATTGCAATTACTTGAAAGATCCCCATTTCCTCTACTAAAAGGCAAGAGCACCTCATGACAGAACAATTTCTATCTGACCAAACAAATTATGTGGTGAGGCAGTGGTTAAATTTTGGGAGAAACAAGATGGGGATTTCCATACTTGGGAAAACCACAGCCCACAGAAAGAACAAGATTATTCTTATATTGAATTGGGGTGACGTACAGCAGTTGACCGAGCGTGTATTCCAATTGAGACCATGTCCTTTTCTATCTAATCCCAATTTCAGACTTTACATTTATATATCAGATTCCTACAATTCTAGGAAGAAAAACCCAGCATTTTTTAAAAATCTTGGAATTTATTCATGCGGTGAAATCCTATATATGTCTGCTCTCATAGATGATGCCTTCCTGGAACAGATGGCCAAGCATGCAAAAGGAAGGGAGATAGTAGTAATGGGGGACTTCAATTACCCGGATATTTGTTGGATGTCAAACTCAGCCAAGAGCATAAGGTCAAACAGATTCCTCATTGGCCTTGCAGACAACTTCATTGTCCAGAAAGTGGGAGAAGCAACAAGAGGAACAGCCATTTTAGATCTGGTCCTAACCAATGTTGATGACCTGGTTAGTGGGGTAGAAGTGGAAGGATCATTAGGCGCGAGTGATCATACTCTTCTGAAGTTTACTATACAGCGGAAAGGAGCAGCCAAGCATACTAGGACTCAATTTCTTGACTTTAAGAAAGCCGACTTCATAAAACTTAGGGAAGTGCTGGGTGAGATCCCATGGACAGTAATACTAAAAGGAAAGGGAGTTCATGATGGCTGGGAGTTTGTTAAGAGGGAGATAGTAAAAGCACAACGTCAGGCAATACCAATGAGACGGAAACATGGAAGGTGCCTAAAGAAGCCAGGGTGGCTATCTAAAGAACTTTTAACTGAGTTAAGATTAAAAAGGATGTGTACAAAAATGGAAAAGGGGGAAACCACCAAAGAGGAATTCAAACAAATAGCCAGCACGTGTAGACACAAAGTCAGAAAAGCTAAAGCACAGAATGAACTCAGGCTTGCTAGAGAGGTTAAAAGCAACAAAAAAGGCTTTTATGGGTATGTTCGTAGCAAAAGGAAGAACATACCCATAAAATCTCTGATAAAGAAAACAATGCCCGACCTGAAGAATTTGGAGCAAATGATTCAGCAGAGGAAACACAGCCCAGAATAACTAAGGAGATAGTACAAGAATACTTGGCTAGTTTAGATGTATTCAAGTCTCCAGGGCCAGATGAACTGCATCCAAGAGTATTAAAAGAACTGGCAGAGGTGATCTCAGAACCACTGGCAGTCATCTTTGAGAATTCCTGGAGAACAGGCGAAGTCCCGGCAGACTGGAGGAGGGCAAATGTTGTCCCTATTTTCAAAAAGGGGAAAAGAGAGGACCCAATAATTACCGCCCAGTCAGTCTGACATCAATACCAGGGCAGATTCTGGAGCAGATCATTAAGCAAACAGTCTGTGAGCACCTAGAAAGGAATGCTGTGATCACCAATAGTCAGCATGGATTTCTGAAAAATAAGTCATGTCAGACTAACCTGATCTCGTTTTTGACAGAATTACAAGCCTGGTAGATGAAGGGAACGCAGTGGATGTAGCCTACCTTGATTTCAGCAAGGCATTTGACAAGGTGCCCCATGATATTCTTGTAAAGAAGCTGGTAAAATGCAGTCTTGACTATGTTACCACTCAGTGGATTTGTAACTGGCTGACTGACCGAACCCAAAGGGTGCTCATCAATGGTTCCTCTTCATCCTGGAGAAGAGTGACTAGTGGGGTGCCACAGGGTTCTGTCTTGGGCCCGGTCTTATTCAACATCTTTATCAACGACTTGGATGATGGACTCAAGGGCATCCTGATCAAATTTGCAGATGACACCAAACTGGGAGGGGTGGCTAACACCCCAGAGGACAGGATCACACTTCAAAACGACCTTGACAGATTAGAGAACTGGGCAAAACCAAACAAGATGAATTTTAACAGGGAGAAATGTAAAGTATTGCACTTGGGCAAAAAAAAAAGAGAGGCACAAATACAAGATGGGTGACACCTGGCTTGAGAGCAGTACATGTGAAAAGGATCTAGGAGTCTTGGTTGACCACAAACGGGACATGAGCCAACAGTGTGACGCGGCAGCTAAAAAAGCCAATGCAATTCTGGGCCTCATCAATAGGAGTATAGTATCTAGATCAAGGGAAGTAATAGTGCCACTGTATTCTGCTCTGGTCAGACCTCACCTGGAGTACTGTGTCCAGTTCTGGGCACCACAGTTCAAGAAGGATACTGACAAACTGGAACGTGTCCAGAGGAGGGCAACCAAAATGGTCAAAGGCCTGGAAACGATGCCTTATGAGGAACGGCTAAGGGAGCTGGGCATGTTTAGCCCAGAGGAGATTAAGGGGTGATATGATAGCCATGTTCAAATATATAAAAGGATGTCACATAGAGGAGGGAGAAAGGTTGTTTTCTGCTGCTCCAGAGAAGCGGACACGGAGCAATGGATCCAAACTACAAGAAAGAAGATTCCACCTAAACATTAGGAAGAACTTCCTGACAGTAAGAGCTGTTCGACAGTGGAATTTGCTGCCAAGGAGTGTGGTGGAGTCTCCTTCTTTGGAGGTCTTTAAGCAGAGGCTTGACAACCATATGTCAGGAGTGCTCTGATGGTGTTTCCTGCTTGGCAGGGGGTTGGACTCGATGGCCCTTGTGGTCTCTTCCAACTCTATGATTCTATGATTCTATTCTATGATTCATAAATAATCCCTACTGAGCTCATTGAAATTTAGTAACATTGTAACCTTAATGAAAGTTTCTTTTTCTTCCACTCAAAAATACATTTGAAGATTACTACTTTGGGAAGCAAAAGCCATATGGTATTTTGAGGAAAAGATCTGTAACCAGGACATTAGATTACTGATCATTTCTTTTTTGCAATTCTTATCTGCAAAATCCATGTGGATTTGGTTATCAACAATAACATTTTCATGTGCACTCCTGTATAAAGGTAAAGGTACCCCTGACTGTTAGGTCCAGTTGCGGACAACTCTGGGGTTGCGCGCTCATCTCGCTTTATAGGCCGAGGGAGCTGGCATTTGTCCACAGACAGCTTCCAGGTCATGTGGCCAGCATGACTAAGCCGCTTCTGGTGAACAAGAGCAGTGCACGGAAATGCTGTTTACCTTCCCACCAGAGCAGTACCTATTTATCTACTTGCACTTTGGCGTGCTTTCGAACTGCTAGGTTGGCAGGAACTGGGACTGAACAACGGAGCTCACCCCGTCGTGGGGATTCAAACCGCCGACCTTCTGATCAGCAAGTCCTAGGCTCTGTGGTTTAGACTACAGCGCCACCAGCGTCCCTGCACTCCTATATACTGCACCACAATTTGCCATGCCACAAATATTTATAAAATAGTTACTTCAAATCAATGTTAGAAGTTCATATTTCTGGACTCAGAAATACAAATTGGAACATAAGAAGAAGCCTGTTGGATCAGTCCAGAGGCCCATCTAGTCCAGCAACCTGTTCTCACAGTGGCTACTCAGATATCTGTGGGAAACCTGCAAGCTGGGCCTCAATACAGAGCACTTTCCCCCTCCTGCAGTGACCATGGAGGCAGAGCGTAGCCATTGTGGCTACACACTGGTAGTGCCCCAGGTGCAGGCTGCTGAAATGGCCAAGGGGCGGACCCAAGGGAAGACTTCCTACTCTGCTGGCTCCGCTGCCAGCACATCCCAAGTCCCAGCCTGCATCCCCATTTGCCAAAGCAGGGTGCAGGCTAGGATCCAGCTCCTGATAGGCGACGGGGGCTTATGCCCCCACCGCCTATCCGGAAGGGCACTGAAGCCATGGCTCCCTTGGAGCCTCTGCCGTCCTGCAATGCCGCCACACCTAAAGGGGTGAGCAGACTTATCCTACATGAACTTGTCTAATCCTTTGTAAAGCCATCCAAGTTGGTGGCTTCAATGCCTCCCAGCGACTGCTCCCAGCAGCTTAATATAGCTTGTAAATAGAATTGGGGTTGAGATCCTGCCCTGCTGCACCCCATAACATAGCCGTCAATGGACCAAAACTCACTCATCCAATGCTACTTCCTGGACTGAGTCCCAAAGGTAGGGCTGGAACTCACCATTCCCTGGAGCTGGTCCAGGAGGATACCACGGTCAGAAGCTATCATGAGATCAAGAAGCAGAGACAAGGTCACATCCCACCTGCCCCACCCTCTGCAAAAAGTCTTCCACCAAGGTTTTAAAATCTTCCATTGATTGAAGAATGGGCATTGAAGGGCCATAGCTCAGTGGCAGAGCATCTGTTTTGCATGGAGGAGGTGCCAGGTTCAATCCCAGGTATCTCCAGGTAGGGCTGGGAGAGATCTGAAATCATGAAGAACTACTACCAGTCAAGGTAGGCAATACTGAGCAAAGATGGACCAGTGGCTTAATTAAGCTTCCTACATTTCCATTCCTAAATGATTAAAAGTGCCCTACGCATTTTCACAATGTGCCAGCAGTACTGAAAGGAAACGAAGGAATAAACTATTCCTGCAAGTTTTGAGACTACTCAGAACTTGCACTCAGTTCAGAGCAGCCTCCCTGCAACACGATAGCATTCAGCTTATTAAGGCCCAGTTAGAAATTCTGAAGGCATGAGCCAAATTGCCACTAAAAATAATTTATTAATCCTATGTCTTCTGGTACTTGACATTTTACATGCTGTGACAGAAAGATCTTAATTAGGAGCTGCTGAGATCTTACTAAGCATTCGATCTGCTGGATTTCACTGAAGCTACACATAAAAAAATAAAAAAATGTTTGATTGCTGACTACCAGAGGAGACGAATTGGAATGTGTCACTTGCTCATTAAATCTGTCTCATTTCCACACAGTGGGTGTTCTACTCTTCCATGCTGGTCACTCACATTTTCTCAGATACCCGGGATGCTAGCAGAAGAATAACTACAAATGCGAAAGTAGGCAGATCAAGGGCTTACATCCCTCATGATTGTTTACCAGGTATTTTCAAGGTGTAATGAGAATTTCAGTGGGGGGGGGAGGGAATACAATTAGGGCACAATCTACCAGTGGGGGACAAGCCATTTGGGTGAATGGGATACTGCCTCACCAACCTCAGTCTGCCATCAGCAAGCTCCCAACTACCTGCCTTCTTGCTTACAAACAGTCCAGGGGATGGCATTGCCTGTCAGCTTCCTCCTCCACAGTTTCAGTGTTGCCCTTGTAGAATTAAGCCAAAGGTAGGACTGGGACAAGATTAGAGTGAGTTGGCTTTGGTGCCACCGGCTGTTAGTCTCTCTAGCTTCTGCCCTACCAGTCTCAATGGGCACCAGCCACTGCCACAGTCCACACAGAAGTTCTTCCATGCAAGGCCTATTGAAATCCACAAGAACAGTGTGAAATGACTCCCTGTACAGCTGGGGTGATTTCAACCATGGTTTTGGTAACCCCATACAAAAGAAGGCTTTCACGGTTGAAATAGTTGCCACACAATGGGAAAGTGCTTTACTCAAAGAGCTAACACATGGGCCACCTGCTTTCAATTTTCTTTCAAAGATATTATCACGCTACATAGGACAAGCCCTACTTGAGGCAAATCTTTCCTACTCACATACAACCCCACAGGTCAAGGGGGGTTGTTAAGAGACAGTTGCCCTATTCAGGCATTATGTACATGGGTACATTGTCACATGAGCAGCAGGGATGAGCTTGCTAGCTCTGCCCTTCTGTAGCCCATTTGCACAAGTTGGAAGTAAGTAAAGAGGCCAGTTGTACCCGTGGAAGTTTCCGGTGTGTTTTGGAACCTCGATTTAACCTGCACCTTTAGGGCAGCTCTCACAGCCCCTCAAGCAAGCCTGGTCAGTTTTGTATCGCAGAAGACAAAACAGTGGATTTCAGCTTTCCAATAAAATTAGAGCAGTTTCCTAATTTTCTGTTGCAGCAAAACAGTCCTAGAAAACTGGTGGGAAGCATTGTCAAGGGCAAATTACCATGCACACAGAACAACAAGGCTTGCGGAAGTGGAAACAGCATGGTTTCTGCTAGAGTAAGACCTGTCTCAGGAACTTTGAGTTGAGAGTATCAACAAACATAAAGATAGATGTGAGCCAGCTAACACTGTGTATTTAGACTTAGAAAATGCTTTTGATGAAGTATCTCACCAAAAACTCCAGAGTAAGCTTAGCAATCACAGGATAAGAGGAGAGATCCTCTTTTGGATCAGTAACTGGTTAAGGAACAGGAAGCAATTAATAGGAATGAATGGACAGTTATCCCAAGGTAGTACAGTATGTATAAATTGAAATCTCCCAAGGATTGGTATAGGGACCTGTGCTTTTTAACTTGTCCACCAATGATTTAGAGTTAAGGGTAAGCAGGGAGGTAACCAAGTTTGCTGATGATACCAAATCATTCAGGGTTATTAAAACAAAACAAAAAGACTGTGAACAGATCCCAAAGTGTCTCCTCAAACTGGGTGAATGGGCAGTAAAATTAAAAATGCAATTCAATACAAACAAGTGGAAAGCGATGCACGTTGGGGCAAAAATAAATAAATCTAAATGTCACATATACACTCTTTGGGTCTGAATTGGTAGTGACTGACAAGGAACAAGACTTTGAGGTTGCAGTGTATAGTTTGATGACAGTATTGACCCAATGTGTGGCAAACGTGAAAAATAGCAAAACCCATTCTGAAAAGGAGCTGAAAAATAAAACTGCCAATATCATGCCATTATACAGGTCTATGGTGTGGCTGCACTTGGAATACTGTGTACATTTCTGGTTGCCTCACCTCAAAAAGGATATTGATAAGCTGGAAAGGTTCAGAAAGAGGCAGCCAAAAGGATCAAGGAGGTGGAGTGACTCCCCATGAGGAAAGGTTGCAGAATTGTGGACAAGGTGAACAAGAAGAGACATGATGGCACTATATAAAATTATGCATAGTGTGGAGAAAGTGGAATGAGAAATATTTTTCTCCCTCATTAGCACAAGAACCTGTGGACGTCCAATGAAGCTGAATGTTGGAAGGAAAGAAAGGAGGCTTCATACAGTGCCTAGTTAAACTACCGCACAGTGGTACCTCGGGTTAAGTACTTAATTCGTTCCGGAGGTCCGTTCTTAACCTGAAACTGTTCTTAACCTGAAGCACCACTTTAGCTAATGGGGCCTCCTGCTGCTGCTGCTGCTCCGCCGGAGCCTGATTTCTGTTCTTATCCTGAAGCAAAGTTCTTAACCTGAAGCACTATTTCTGGGTTAGCGGAGTCTGTAACCTGAAGCGTATGTAACCCGAGGTACCACTGTATATTATTTGCTCCCAGAAGTTGCAAGGGTCACTAACTTGGATGGCTTTAAAAGAGAATTAGACAAATACTTGGAGGATAAGGCTATCAGTTGCTACCAGTCACAATGTCTGTGTTCTACCTCCATTTTGGGAGGCAGGGTGGGCAGAGTGTGCTGCTCTCAGTGTTAGGATATTTCCGTTCCACCTTAAAAAGGGAGCAGGCTGTTGTTTGAGTCACAGCTTACGTATTTCCTGCTCACAGGAAGTTTCTGTTTTTGTATATAGCTGTTGTTTTCTCTCTCTGTGCCTGGACACGCAGGCAGGCAGTCATGTTTTTTCTTTGTTCTGACCAACGCTGAATAAAGTTGTAAATAATGCTCTCCTGAGTGCATCTTTCATTGTGCGAACTCTGCAAAGGGCGTGCACCAGTCCTTGGAATGTGGACAGATGTTTCTGAGGCTTGTGTCGCTAATTGACTGATACTGTTCTACGGGAGATTGATGGATCGTCCGGAATCGACGTGGAGGCATGATGGCCTTTGTCTCCCTGGCAGTATCCCAACACTCAGATCCTGCTTTTTGGCTTCCCCTAGGCATCTGGATGTTGGACAGGATGTTGGACAAGGTTGACCACTGGTGTGATTCCGCAAGTGTTTTTTTATGTTCTTGGACCCACTGTCAATTACAGCTCTTCTTGAGCTTAAAGCTATTAGATTGGTCAGTAACATGTATACCATTTGTTGCTGGATTACTCAAAAGGGAAATCATCAGAATATGATCAATAACAATTGGAAGCTAAGTTACAATTTGTAGAGAAATGTACTTCTGAAATAATTTCATATTTATGTTCTTGCTCAGGCTGATTTCTGGCTGTTGGGTGAAGATTAAAGCACTCACACCGCCTCTCATGTAAATGAAATCTGATTTTATACCCATTCCTGATTTAACTAGTGCAACATGCAAAGCGATAATTATAGTAAATACGCATTTCCAGCATGCAAGCAGATGGCTCTGTTAAGGTGTGGGGGAGATTAATGTTGATATAGATGTAGTTTATCTTCCATACTTGTCAAGAAACACATATAATGATATACCAGAACCTTCACTTCATCACTCAGAAAGAGATAACAGGGCTGAACTGGTAAGTCTTAGCATCACAGGCTGTCACTGTTGCATTCCTTTTTGTCTATGCATGGTATAGAAGACAAACAAACAGGAACCCAGCAATGCCATAGTATTCCTCAGAACAATCACTCTCCTCCTTCTCTGCACTCCAGCAGAACTGAGGTGCCTTTCAGAACTGCCTGACAGGCAGAAATTGAATAAAAGCAGCTTTTTATTTACTGCAATTCTTTACAGCAAAAAAGTAACTAAGAATTCAACAACCACCATTGTAATTTGATTCCTTAAACTACATTTTAAAGGGCAAACTCATATTTTGGTTTTGCAGGCAGTTATTCCCTTTGATCCCAAGCTCTGTGTCCACCAAACAGATTTTTCAACTGGCATTCCTGCAAATTCAGGTAACAGGGTTTAGTGAGCAGGAAGAGGCTGTGGCGGAGGGCAAATACTTTTTTTTGGCAATGCATCACTGATCATCCTATGTATGTATCTCACATTGGAAGAATAGGCCCAATTATTTTCAAAACCAAGTCATGTCCAGAGAGTGGTGGTCTGACCTTGTCTTGCATATGGACAAATGGAGGCAGCCCCTTGTCTGAATGATCATGAAAATGCCAAATTGTGCAACATTCAGCAATACAGTAAATAAATGAAACTCTTTCTGGACTAAAAATGGGGGGGGGAGGGAAGAAGGGGAGAGGAATATACGATGAGGTAGCGGTTCTGGTTCCAGCACCACTTTATAAAAGCATTTTACTTAAAGTCTCTAATTAGATGTGGATTAGCTCAGCAAGTTTACATCTAAGAGCTTGCCAAAAAAATACTACTATTATTATTATTTGCAGGAGGGAAGAAGTCAGCAATTGAACAAACTGAACGGCCACTCAAATATTTCAAATTAGGCTCCTTTTTGGCCATCAGCAGTTTTGTGCATGCTGCGT